ATATATATATATTGTGATACCCTTACTACCCCAACACATATCTTGTAATAATGTAAATAAAACTAACGAATAAATTTTTTAACGTTGGTAAAAAGGGTTCACATAAAATCTTCATAATTGTTCTTCAATATCCAAAATAATTAAAAATAAAACTTATAAAATAAAACATAAGAGTTTACAAATTGTTTTCAAAATAATAAATACAACTCCAAATCCATATGAAAATTCATGTCCTAAAAATCCTCTGTCCCGATTTCATAATATCAGAGCATACCCATAATTTAACTGTTGGCATTCTAGATGTCACTCATAGCTGGATCTTCCTCACTTAAAACATCCACAATTTGTATGGTGAGAAAAGAAAACATCTATATGTAAAGAACACAAGGAAAATTCATAACATAATTTCATCATAACTCATTACTTAATGAAAAATTCACAAGCATTTCTATATATCATAATTTTATCAATCATGCATCATCTTCACATCACAATTCACAATCACACCAATCCATCACAAATCTTGCAATTAATACTATGCCAAGGCCACGCCACACGTCTGACATAAGTGATAAGTGTTAATTGCCTCACACATCCCACACTATACCAAGGTCACGCCATCCTTGTAACATTACTTACCCAAGGGTCGTGCCATCCCTGGTCATAAGTGTGAGGAATCACAATCATATTTTATTCATAATCAACACAAATCTTACAATTAACATTATGTCAAGGCCACACCACATCTGACATAAGTGATACGTGTTAATTGTCTCACACATCTCACACTATGCCAAGGTCACGTCATCCCTATAGCATCACTTACCCAAGGGTCGTGTCATCCCTGGTCATAAGTGTGAGGAACCAGAATCATATTTTATTCATAATCAACACAAATCTTACAATTAATATTATGCCAAGGCCACACCACATCTGACATAAGTGATACGTGTTAATTACCTCACACATCTCACACTATGCCAAGGTCACGCCATCCCTGTAGCATCACTTACTCAAGGATCGTGCCATCTCTGGTCATATGTGTGAGGAACCACAATCACATCACATTCACATTCAATACAACACCTCATTTCATGTCAACATACTCACATCATAATTAATTGAACAATTAAGTCATAATATACCATTCGCCACATCATGTTATCAATTCAATACTAAAATGGTAGATACAATATGTATTCATTTGTGTCAAGACATCACACCATAGTCCATAAATCAATTCCATATCACATACACAATATAGATAAGTCCACACAATACAATGATTCACATACCCCTCAAGCAATTCACCATCTAGATCATCAATTTTTACCATATAATATAACAATAACATTTATAAATTAATATTACACTCAATTGAATCACCAATTCAATAGAATCTTAACTCAAATAGTAAAACTCCCAATTTTTCCAAAACCTAACTCACAGTCACTAGCACTTTTCTACGATTTCGTTCTCTCTCCCAGATCATCATTTTTACAAATTAATTACATATTTCTAATCCTCAATACATGCAAACTCTAATGGGATCATCAATTTCTCAAACAGAAATAATTATAAAATTACTCATAATCCTACAAAATTCCTCCTCTACCCAATTCCCTCATGTAACTTTAAATTCCCTTTTCCCTTGGTCTTATGAGAGTGTAGAAGAAAAGAAGTCAGAAGTGAAAAGTGTGTTTTTGGGAGTGCCAGTGCGTGCTATTTATAGGCATTAGGAGTGGCCGGAACGACCCGTTTCAAATCCAGAACGGCGCATTCTGGACTCATTCATCATGTGTAAAATTTCACATCTAAAACGGCTCGTTCTCAAACCAGAACCGCCCGTTCTAAGGTTGCATTTTAACCCATAATGAACATGTTTGGAACGACCCGTTCTTAAACCAGAACGGCCCGTTCCCAACTAGGGTTACAAGCCTTTTTAGTAATTTGGAACGCCCCGTTCCAGTTGGGAACGACCCGTTCGCAACTAGAGTTTTACCAAGGTCACGCCATCCTTGTAACATTACTTACCCAAGGGTCGTGCCATCCCTGGTCATAAGTGTGAGGAATCACAATCATATTTTATTCATAATCAACACAAATCTTACAATTAACATTATGTCAAGGCCACACCACATCTGACATAAGTGATACGTGTTAATTGTCTCACACATCTCACACTATGCCAAGGTCACGTCATCCCTATAGCATCACTTACCCAAGGGTCGTGTCATCCCTGGTCATAAGTGTGAGGAACCAGAATCATATTTTATTCATAATCAACACAAATCTTACAATTAATATTATGCCAAGGCCACACCACATCTGACATAAGTGATACGTGTTAATTACCTCACACATCTCACACTATGCCAAGGTCACGCCATCCCTGTAGCATCACTTACTCAAGGATCGTGCCATCTCTGGTCATATGTGTGAGGAACCACAATCACATCACATTCACATTCAATACAACACCTCATTTCATGTCAACATACTCACATCATAATTAATTGAACAATTAAGTCATAATATACCATTCGCCACATCATGTTATCAATTCAATACTAAAATGGTAGATACAATATGTATTCATTTGTGTCAAGACATCACACCATAGTCCATAAATCAATTCCATATCACATACACAATATAGATAAGTCCACACAATACAATGATTCACATACCCCTCAAGCAATTCACCATCTAGATCATCAATTTTTACCATATAATATAACAATAACATTTATAAATTAATATTACACTCAATTGAATCACCAATTCAATAGAATCTTAACTCAAATAGTAAAACTCCCAATTTTTCCAAAACCTAACTCACAGTCACTAGCACTTTTCTACGATTTCGTTCTCTCTCCCAGATCATCATTTTTACAAATTAATTACATATTTCTAATCCTCAATACATGCAAACTCTAATGGGATCATCAATTTCTCAAACAGAAATAATTATAAAATTACTCATAATCCTACAAAATTCCTCCTCTACCCAATTCCCTCATGTAACTTTAAATTCCCTTTTCCCTTG